CGAACGTACCCTCCCGAAACCCTTCCTTAAAAACAGCCCTGTGGGTCCCGTTCTGTGCCTACCGGCAGAGTAGTCTAGGTCTGTCTAGAGAGAGGTCTTACATAGGAAGCACAAGGAGGTCCCGACAGGTCCCGCTGGCGGTTTTTTGGAAAGAAAGGCGGGGACGTCCATGAAACATCGCTGGGGACAAGATTTCTCGAACGTACCCTCCCGAAACCCTTTCCTAGAAAACAGCCCTGTGGGTCCGGCTGTGATTTTCTTCTTTTTTGAACACAGGGGACTCCCCCCCCACGCCCTGCAACGTGAGGGTTTTTCGGAAACGTTTCCTGCCCCACCCCCCCCCTACCCCCCCACCCCCCCCTACCCCCCCACCCCCCCCTACCCCCCCACCCCCCCCTGGTAGGGTGGGCGGGGAGGGAATTTTGAAAAGAATAAGCCAAGACAGCGAAAAGAATCAGGTAGCTCCACAACAAAAGCCCCCATACAATGCGTTCGACTCCAAGGTGCTGGCCATGAACAAACAAACGGTAGAGAAAGAGCCCGAATCCCCTAAACCCGAAACCCCAAACCCCAAACCTAAACGAAACCCCAAACCCCAAACCCCAAACCCCAAACCCGACTTCGAGGTTCCCTGTTCCCTAAACCCCTAACCCCTAAACCCTAAACCCCAAACCCTAAACCCTAAACCCTAAACCCGACTCCGCCCCCTAAACCCGAAACCCTAACCCTAAACCCGAAACCCTAACCCTAAACCCGACTCCGCCCCCAGGATTGTGGCCTGGAGCCGCCAGGAGAGCTGCAACGCGGCCCAAGGCCGCCCCTTCGGGGCTTCCAGTTAGGGTTGAAGGTTTAGGGTTTGGGGTTTAGGGTTTAGGGATTAGGCGGTTTAGGGTTTAGGGATTAGGTGGTTTAGGGTTTACGGGGGAATCGGGAAAAGACCTGACAGGCGCGGGAAGGGGACTTAGGGTTTAGAGTTTCAGGGTTTAGGATTTAGGGTTTAGGGTTTGTTGGAGGGGA